TTATTAAGTTCCTCAAAAAAGATTGTCCCACAAACAGCGGTGGCTTGAGTGATCAAATTCTTGTTGTTTTACTTACTTATTTATTTTTACGAAATAAATTCTATCCGGTTTGTTTCGCCCACAAAATGTACAGTCAGTTCGCATCGCAGTGTATTCTGTGAAGCGCTTTGAGACGTCTCGAAGACGTGATAAGGCGCGATATCAGACGCAAGGATTATTATTATTATTATGATTATTATTCTTTCTGTAGGTGGGGAAACGTCCGCCAACTCGAAACATGTTTCCGGCAACTTTCAATTCAACTAGAAATGTCCAAATCGTAAGAAAACACCTAAAAACACGTTCTTGTTTTTTCTCCCCCCCCATAAAAATAGGACAAGAGGTAACTCTGCAGATCGTTAACCAAAAGGCATTAACGAAATCCGCAAAATACCAAGTTGGGTGGAGGGAGGGAGGGAGGGAGGGAGGGAAGGAGGGAGGGAGGGAGGGAGGGAGGGAAGGAGGGAGGGAAGGAAAAGACATAGACATCGATTTTTGAATTGAATCCAAAGCAAAGGGAGAGAAGCTGTCAATGCACTGAATGAAATGAACATCGATTTGTTTCAGGAAACTGAATCCGTAGTTTAGGTTAAAGAAAAAAAACACAAACACAGACACACACACACAGAGACACACACACACAGACACACACACACACACACACAGACACACACACAGACACACACACACACACAGACATACACAGAGACACACACACACACACACAGAGACACACACACACATAGAGACACACACACACACAGACACACACACACAGACACACACAGAGATGCACAGACACACACACACACAGACACACACACACACAGACAGAGACACACACACAGACAGAGACACACAGACAGAGACACACACACACACACAGACACACACACACACAGACAGAGACACACACACACACAGACACACACACACAGACACACACAGACACAGATACACACAGACAGAGACACAGACACACACACAGACAGACAGACACACAGACAGAGACACGAACACAGAGACGCAAACACAGACACAGAGACAAACACACACAGAGACACACAGACAAACACACACAGACACAGAGACAAACACACATTGACACAGAGACACACAGACAAACACACACAGATAGATAGATACACACACACAGAGACACACACACAGAGATAGATACACACACACAGAGACACACACACAGAGATAGATACACACACACAGAGACACACACACAGACACAGACACACACACAGACAGACACACAGACAGAGACACGAACACAGAGACGCAAACACAGACACAGAGACAAACACACACAGAGACACACAGACACACACACAGAGACACAGAGACAAACACACACAGACACACACACAGAGACACACACACAGATAGATACACACACACACACACACACACAGATAGGACTAATACACACACACACACACACAGATAGATACACACACACAGACACAGACACACAGACACACACACAGACACACACACACACAGACACACACACACAGACACAGAGACAAACACACACACAGATAGATACACACACACACAGAGATAGATACACACACACAGAGACACACACAGACACACACACAGACACACACAGACACACAGACAGACCCACAGACACACACACAGACACAGACACACAGACACACAGACACACAGACACACAGACAGAGCCCAAGTGAAATATGTTGTTTTTTTTGACACCAAAAGCCAAACCAAATATAAATAGCAATCACCAAAGGAAGTAAATGAAATAAAAGGTCGGGATTCTCACCATCACCGAATCCCACAGAGTTTTTTTTTGGTGCTTTTTTAAAAAGTCAAATATATATATATATATATAATATAATATATATATATATATATGGTCTGAAACAGAAACTGACAGAAAAAAACTGCAGAGTCCCAATGTATCACTGGTCAGTGTTACACTGTAGCTGTTCTGTGTAACACTGTAGCTGTCAGAGGGCACAAGCACTCACTCTCCCCCCCCCCTTTCTCCCCCTTTTCCCCCTTTTTTGGGGTGTGGGGGGTATGTGTGGGGGTGTGGGGGTATGTGTGGGGGTGTGGGGGGTATGTGTGGGGGTGTGGGGGTATGTGTGGGGGTATGTGTGGGGGTGTGGGGGTATGTGTGTGGGTGTGGGGGTATGTGTGGGGGTGTGGGGGTATGTGTGGGGGTGTGGGGGGTATGTGTGGGGGTGTGGGGGTATGTGTGGGGGTGTGGGGGTATGTGTGGGGGTGTGGGGGTGTGGGGGTATGTGTGGGGGTGTGGGGGTATGTGTGGGGTGTGGGGGGTATGTGTGGGGGTGTGGGGGTATGTGTGGGGTGTGGGGGGTATGTGTGGGGGTGTGGGGGTATGTGTGGGGGTGTGGGGTATGTGTGGGGGTGTGGGGTGTGGGGGTATGTGTGGGGGTGTGGGGTATGTGTGGGG